GCATGAGACAGGGGAGGGTCAGAGGGAGAAGCAGACTCCCCGCTGAGCAGGGAGCCCGATGCGGGACTCGATCCTGGACTCCAGGATCATGACCTGAGCCGAAGGCAGTCGCTTAACCAACTGAGCCACCCAGGCTCCCCGAGCATTCCTCTTTCTGAAGAGCCCTCGCAAAAATCCCGGGATTGGCTCTGATTGGCCCAACCTGGGCCATGTGCCCATCCTTGAACCAATCATTGTGGCTGGGGGGGAAGTGGTGCTCTCATTGGGCAGGCCTGGGTCATGTGCCTATCCTTAAACCAATCACTATGGCTGGTGGAAATGAAGCTCTTATTGGCCGGGCCTGGGTCATGTGCTCACCCAGAGGCCAGGAGCAGGATCCGTCTCACCCTCAGTCGGTGGATCCAGACTCAGGAAGGGGTGGTTCCTCAGAGGAAAGCTGGAGGATTTGATTTTTGGCCGGCCAGAAGCAATAGACAGGCCCCGCCCCCCCGCTGCCCCTTGTCTCCTTACACGAAGCTCTCTTTTTCTTGTAGGCTTTGGATGTTTGGGCCATGGGTGTGACGCTGTACTGCTTTGTGTTTGGCCAGGTAACGGGGTGGGGTGTCCTGTCTGCTGGGTGTTGCTGGGCAGCCCCCCTGGGTTAATAGTTACCCTTGCAGGGAGACAGGACTTTATTCATTGAGTTTACTGTTTTATTTCCACAGTTAGACCCGAATGTGAAAAAAAGGTGCCTTTCCAAATGTACATACCTGTACAGAATAGTCCAATCTGTGGAAAGCGATCTGTTAACACAGAAGGACTGGCAGAGGCTCTAGAGGTTGTAATAATTGATGGATTTAGGGCAAGGACAACAAATGTGCCACCTCTCTCCCCACTCTGACACCCCAGACAGACATCACAAATCAATAGCCACTGGCACCCTTTCTTCCTGAGCCCAGTGCTGCTTTGATGTTTTTCTCAGCAGAGTGTGTCCCCAGAAGCTGTTGTTGGAGGGACAGAATTGGAATGGATGTGAAAAATCCATTTGACATTATTGATTTAGGGAATGCTGTCTGGTCTCTTCATCGTTGTTTTTTTTTTTTTAGGATTTTATTTATTTATTTGACAGAGAGAGAGTACAAGCAGG